CCAGAAGGCAGTGAGTAATGCTAAAGCAGCATCTCACAAGCAGTGAAGTAATAAAATGACTGAAGCTCCTTGTCCTGTGTATTGTTGTAGCAACTCATTATTGGTCTCTAATAAAACCTTCTGCCAGCAGTGCCAACATAATGTCGGGAGGGAGGACAGAGGCTGTGAAGTTAGTTCAATGCAACTCATATCGTGGGGGAAATTAGCACTGAGATCCCACAACAGGTGTGAGATAATGAAGAACAGAAAAAAGTCGAGGGGCTTTGTTTTGTGGGTTTTTTTTAAAGAAAAAAACCACGAACCTTGCTACAGCTCTTTGAGAACCTCCTCCACCCACACTTCCTTATCACTTCCCACAACTCTCTTTGCCAGCGCAGCATCTTGTCCCGGTTTACTAAGTAAGAGATTCACTGAGACTCTCTGGGAGAGTGACCGTGAACTACTGCCACGGGGATCTCGGGTTGCCCAGCATCTCATCGATTCCTCATTTCTGGCTATGGCTGGAAAACTGTTGCAACTGCCCTTTTCAAGATCATTTAGTAAAGGTATAAAGTATAAAATCATTAAAGCCAGTTATTAAAACAGCCTAGTAATGCAGCTTGTTTGCCTTAAAGTGATACAAAAGGTCACAAACCTCATCTTTTAGGGAAAACCTCTGTCAGCTACCTTTAAAGTGTAAAACCAGACCTGTCCTGACAGAGCTCAGTGAATGCTTTTTATGCAACTCTGTTAGCCTTTGAAGTTCCTTCTAATCTACCCTTAAATGCCTGGAACATACTCTTCAAAGAAACTGTAGTCTTCTCCAGTTTCATTTCAGGGTAGGGTTACAGGATGGTATGACTGTAGTATATTTTTTTTTTAATGTTTTTTTCACTTACAAACATCACTGATTCATGTTCGTCTCTTGAAGCATAAAGGAAAAATCCTGAATGCCATTGTTAATCCAGCAACAACTACTTCTGTGGAAAAAGATAAGCTCTTGTCATTCAACAACTCCTTTGATCTGATTTTCACCATTTTCATGAAACAGCACAGTCTGAATTACATGTTTTCATGTGATGTATTATGCACCAGGAAAAGCTAATTTATTCATGGTGCTTATTAGCATTTGCTGCATATTCATATGCTATTCACATTCATATAATAATCCCTTACAAAATTGAGAGGAATCATTGTATGCCCTAGGATTGATGGATGAAAATAACAAAACCAGAGCTAAAAACGTGGTGTGTTCTTTGTTGAGCTAGGTGGTAGTCTAAGTCTTTGGTACTCACTCAGTACACTGAACTCCTGCAGACTCTGGGTTTAAATTCCTGGTGATGTCACAAGTGTTGTACTCACTTCTCCCTGCTGAAATCACCCTTTCTGACGTCACTCTGCAACAAATTCTGGTTTGAATTAGTGTTTCATCTGTGGTGAATTATTTAGCCAGAAGTTTAGCACTACCATTGAATGAATATTAGGCTTATACTGTATTTACACAGAGGTGTATTTTGTCCTTGAGAAATATTCCGGTATTAGTATAGGCATGCTATATACAGGGGAGTATATGATACAATCTTGGAGTTAGAGGTGTTAATGTCTTGTAACCTCTGCTGAGTAGGGCAAACACATGGGTAATTTTCTGCAATCTGCAGTTCACAGAATAATTTAAAGTTATTTAGATATTGTTTCATTTCTTGTGTCAGAAGTTGCGGTCTTCTCAGCCTGCTCCATGCATGCCTTATAAGCAATGCTTTGTTACTTCAGGATATTTGTTCCAAAAAAGGAACATTTTCCTCTAAAATGAAAAAAAACCTGCTGAAGTTATCGCTTCTAAACGTTAACTAAAATAAGGTTTGGTGGTAGCTAAAACTAGTACAGTGGCAATGCAGGAATTCACTTTTTCTCCATGCAGTCCTGTATACAACTGGTTGTTCCCCACAGATTATGAGTACACGTAACTAGTTAATTAACCACTGGAATTGTTCCTGATGGTAGTGAGCTTAGAGGAGGTTGGAATTCTCCCTATTACTTTACTGCTGTTCTTCGGTAAACCAAGAGGTCCTTTTGACTTTTTATTGAAGCTTTGTGTTTGCTTGACTTGGTGTTTCTCTGTGGTTCAGCCCTGCTGTGTGTTGAAGTTTGTGCACGATGGGGCCATCTATTTGGCACCAAATCTTCTTGTAATGGACAGGCATTAATGACAAATACTGAGTATTGAGCGTTGCAGTCATATGATGAACCAAAACAGAGAAGGCACAAAAAGGTGTATCTGTTGTGAAATAACTATGAAAAAGACAGGAGGAAATAGCAAAGGGATTTGATGTTTCTCTTTATTTGCAAGAAGCGTTTAGGCTCTACTTGCAATGGAAGCAGAAAGCTATGCATGTAGTGTTTGAAATGACTGCAGCCTGCAGTGCTGGTGATTCTGTTGGAATGTGAATTTCTTTGGGCTACGCATGTAGCGTTTGAAATGACTGCAGCCTGGTGATTCTGTTGGAATGTGAATTTCTTTGCAGATGGAGTCTGCTGCAAAGCCTTCAGAAGTCATTCTGAACATGCAGTGGACTGGCTCTCTTTTTTGTTATCCCAGACCGTGCTCCTGGCCTGTGGAAGGTGCAGGCTGGGGCTGGTTACTCATTAAGCGTACAAAGGCTCGTATCTCCTGCCTAGTAAAGCTCTTTTGCGAATAGTTTCCTGGGCTCCCACTCTAATTGCCACAGAGATTCCAGGCAGATTCCGTCATCCTTGTTTTCTGCCTGACTGGGAATCTGAGAATAAAAGGGTTGATGGCAGAATAATGAGGTTGCTGGACAGTGCAATGCTCAGCAACTCCCCCCAGCATCACATGAGAAAGGGAGGGAGGAGTGGGCTGTAGAGATGCTGCTGGGAAGAGAAAGGGCTGTCTAAATCCCTGAGCACCCTTCCTCCCCCATCAGCACGGCCTCTTAAAAGAAAACTTAGGAACACTACAATCTTTTGGTGGGAGGAATTTGGGGGAGGTCAGGGCAGGGGCAGGCTATTGTAAACCAAAGTCTTCTATAAATCCCTTTCAGGCCCTGAAGCCGGATGCCTCCACCTTCAGGTACAAAGAGACCGGGGAGCTGATGGGGCAGTGAGTTGATAGAAAACCACTGACACAGATTAACGACGGGGTGTGTAGAAGGTGCACCAGAGCAAGGCAAACATGACCAAAAATGGGCTGGGATAATGATGGGATGAATGAGAGAATGTGTAAGGTCAGCTGAGAAGTGATGCTGTGGTGTGTGATCCTGGCAAATCCTTAGCGTGGAGCATGGCACGTTCAAACATTTCTCAACTAGCA